TCTGAGAAGCAGCATGTTAATGGGACTTCCTGCTAGAGCCTTTTGGCTGTTTCTTCTCACTTTCCCTGTGCTGCTAGAATGAAACCCCATCTATCTGACAGATCTTACTTTATAATCCAGACTTCTGTACATAGCTGCTCACAGTCTTGCCTAATATTATTTGGAACCAGGCTTTGAGAGTTCTGTTTTGTGTGCTTTTAATGTGGGGCAGCTGGATTGCAGCTTTCCTGAATGACAAGGGGGTGTAGCTACCCGTGTTTGCAATAAAAGCCCCTTTTCAGCAGCCTCTTAGAAATGGAGGATGTTTAAATCATCCTTCTGCAAGGACCCAGCGTTTTCTTTGTGAAAGGACTGATTTAAATAATGGACTATACAGTGCTAACCCATGTAAATGCTACTAATAGATATTCCATACTGAATGGGTACAGTGGGTGCTTAGTTTCTAAACAATCTCTTGTTGTCCAGCAAAGTCATTTATTTGATTTGTTAGGAAGCAGATGGATGGAAGAATACGTTTGCTAACAGCCAAAAATACTGGAGGCCTTATTTCTTCCTCGAATATTTCCAGCTATACCACTGTGAGTTTTTAAAATGACAAAAAGTGCATGATCTTCCGCGTGGCCACGTGAGGGCAGACGGCAACCTGTCTTCATGCAATACAGAAATACAGAGCAATACGAAGACTTGGTGTAGAACGCTTCTGAGGGTGGCCCTTGGCCTCTTCTGGATCCAGCAGTGTACTGCAGGATGACTGAGGTCTCTCACTCCAACTACAGTGGGCACTCCAGGCAAGGTCCTAAACTGAAATCCAAAGTTGAAATGCCCCTGAATGCAGGTGGGTACAACTATTGAAAGCAGGGCTTCTATTCTTTGTTAAGGGCTAATGTTAAATGCAAAAAGTTGCCTAGATAAGGAAGAGAAAAGCAAAATGTGGGAATCACTTGAATTAGAATATTATCCCGCTTTCCTAACATCTGCTAATCCAGGCACTGGAAAAGGTAAGATATGAGTAGAAGTATTCTAGTGATTCTGGGAAGAAATCCAATGGGCCTTGGCATGTTCATGTGATCTGTGTCCATAGCAGAGATTCTGCTTTTAGCATGCGTGCCTGTTTGGGTCTACTATATTGCAAGATGAACTTTACTGTGGACTCACTTGACTGTACTGACACCACCTCCATTGGCTATGAGGATGTCTCTGAGGCGATACCCGCATGGCAAATACACGCAGTCAGACAGAGAAATCCTGCTCCAGATAACCCACAAACTTCAGCTAGGAGCAGTGTGTCACTGGAAATGCACCTTTGAATTTCAGACATTAGCCAAACACCTGCTTTTTGGAACATCTCCAAAAACGTTGTGAAACAGGTCAGCCTGTTAGCTGACCATCCTCTCTCTGATGCCTGTCAAAGTGGAAGTGAAACGTGAAAAAGCATGCAGTGAAACAAAATAAGTTGGAGGATGCAGACTAGGCCCATATCTCTGGTGGATCAGAAAAGACGTTAGGTGTTCATTCACTATTAAAGAGGTTTCACCCACTGGCCAGAATCCATCCTTATTCCACAGGCACTGAAACCTCTGGGTCTGCACACACTATTTGATGTTATTGGTTGAAATCATGGTCTGTTTGGAAGTAGGTAAGAATGAGAAGAAACCACTAAACATGACCTAGCTTCCTGGACTCCGTATTACTTCCAAACTGCCTTTGAGTATATGCCTTTTGAATTAAAGAAAGCAGAAGATAATCTTCCAGATGACCACAAGAGGGCATAGTGCAGCTTGCCTATTACTTGGTAGGTAACAAAACTGGTTTTCACTCATTGGTAACTGGAAGTTGCAGATTTCATTTGTTTTCCTGCTGCCAAGACAAGTGAACCAACGGAAGTGAAAAACGACTCCTTGGAGTGGAACCTGAAATGTTTAGGTAGGCTGCTCAGCACAGGTATTCCTTGTTTGCAAGGTATTCCATCGCCACCAGTGGAGAAGAGTGAAACATTTTTGTTTTGATTTGTTATAAGCTAGGAGTCTGATTCGTAGGGCACGTAGGAACTCTTGAAGGAAAGTTGCTAGTGCTTGCCTTTAGGCAGAAGCACAGAAGAGATCATTTTCAGAGTGCATCTACTGCAGTGTAAGTTGGCTGCCAGCAGAGAAAGCAAGTCCCGCTTGTCCTCCTTCCCCAGCTGCACGTTCCTGCCACTCTGCGTGTGTCAGATCTAGTGATTGTGCAGTTGCAGGAGGGGTTAGATAAACGAGCTGATCCGACAGAAAACTACGCTGCCTGAAAAGTGACTCACCCTCCGTTGGCGTGGCCGATTTCCCTGTGGTGGCACATGGCAGGGCCATTTGGTGGCAGCCTGAAGTTACTTCTCATTACTCGGTGCATGAAATCACAACCTAAGGATGGGGGTTTGTCCAGTTGTAGCTGTGGGCTGTAGTGGGGAGGGGTGGTCATGCTTCTGGTCACACAGTTCTGCCCCCTGCCCAGTGTCTACTGCTCCAACAGAAAACAACTCACTGGAGGGGAGAGGGTGGCTGAAATACCTGTGGAGGTAAAAGGCAGAAGAATGCTATTGAGGAGGAGAAATGTGTTTGTGCGCTGCTGACATTCCCTCCAGCAAACCTAGAAGCCTGTACAGTGTGCTGTTTTTTGAAGACATGTGCTGAAGGACACAGCATCTGCAAGTGTGAGTCTAGTAGCACTCTCACATTTGGTTTGTGTCCACTAGATGAGGTGATCAAGACCAGCAGCGTGGATCTTAGCTTTGCATAGTTTACCTGCTTTTAATAATATTTGCCTCTGGCCTGCTGGGTGTTGCGTCCTGCTAGTACCAAAGTTTTGGGCACTCTCTCCTTCCATGTTCTGAGCATCCTGAGTGGGCTCTTCTCCTCAGCTGCCTCCTGAGGCATTCGTGTCTTGCCACAGCCTATGAGCCAACTCTCCATGCATTGTGCTGCCTCAGATCTGCTTGTTGCTGCTCCCCTAGGGATCCACACCAGGCTGGGAGGCTGTCTGCCAGGAATCTCACCTTCCTGCTCCCTTGCTGTTGTCCCCTCTGTGCTGACATACAGTGAGCTCAGCTGGCTTTGCTCTGTCTTCACCTGAACCTACTGCTTCTCTGTGACTGAGGCTGGGGACAGTGTCCATGGTGCATGGTTCATGCTGTGTAAAGACTCAGGTGGTTATGGCATCCAGCAGCTTTTGCAGAGGGCACCATGTCCTGTAACGTCCAAGCTGTTGTGTTATGCACTCTGCCAACCTATCTGATCTCATCATAAATGGGAAATCAGTTTTGATCTCCGTAATGACGCTGCAAATCCAGTTTCTCTAGTCAAACTGTGCGTCGCTGAACTGATGAGCCTGCTCTTGCAAAGGGTATGCTATAAACCAATGTGTCTGTGGCAGGCTTCACGTCGCCCATCCTTAGACCAGGACAATCTGGAGCTGGATGCATGTGTAGTTGTCTACATTGCCTTTCTGCCTATAAGGAGAAAAGGGCATTTGGGGAGTATGCTTCAAGTCACTCAAAGCTAGCCTTTTAAAATAGGTCAGATGAATTACACCTAGAAGACCCATCCTCTATTTTGTGCGAAGCAGGTGGCATTAGAGCGATAGTTTGGATGTAGACAGCTACGGTGTGGTTGCGTAAAGCTGGGGAATTTATTCTGTCCTGAGAGCTGTGTGCGTGAAATGCTTCAAGGCATTGTAAGCTTTTGGGTCAAGTGTTGAGGGCACTGGAGGAGTCCTACCTCTGGCCTCAAAAGGCACATTTCCAGAGCGTATTTATTTAGATAGCTGTGGTTAAGACTTTCAATGGCATGGGCTGAGGAATCCAGTTCCTGAAAGAATGCCAGACTTCAACTTTGAGCTCTCCATGCTTTTTTTCAGCAGAGCTATACGTTATGTCATATCACAGTTCTGCTAGTATGTTCTATGTTTGTCTTTCTTTCCATCAGAAGTATAATTTTGTATTTCCATGTTTTTATGCTTAATTTTAGCTCTCCTCTTCTGCTGACTTTTCAAGGGGTTCTGGAGAAATTACAGCTCAGTCGGTCAGTCTTCAAAAAATAATTCTGTTTTCCTAGCTGGTCCATGTTCACTGCAGCCTGATAGATGCTGCAAAGGCAGAAGTGGCTCCTTGCATTAAGATTCCTTTTTCTCTCTGCTTCCACAGGGGAAATAATTGTGCCTTTGACTGTCTCAGTGATCCACCACCCATTATGAAAGATGAGCGTCATCACTCAGGGCGTTAATGGTGGCATCGCATGTTTTGAAGATGTGTCAACAAGGAAGAGGAACAAGCTGATTCTTCTGTGTTTAATTTCTTCCTGAATTTGTGTTGTAGATATGAGAATAAGCCTCTGGGATCCCAAATTGTGTAAGGTATGCATGAGGTGACACCAAGACACGTTTCTGGGAAGAACACAGGAGTTGGTGCTTTTGGAAAATGATCCAAGGAAGACAGGTTTTTTTTGATTAACCCTCCACACTTATGTAAGCCAATATTAAACTAGGACTAATTCCTAGGGATTTGCAGTGTCTCCAAGATAGACTGGCAGCTGCCTGTAGGTAGACTCCTTGCAGGTCAGGCTCTTTAGTCAGTAAACGCTGAGCTTCAAGCTGGCACTCTTTCAGTCACATCTTGGAGAAGCTAACAGTGAACTTTGTTAACGTTCCTGTACCACGTCACCAACTTGCACGTTAACCTCCAACTCTTGTCTTGCCCTTGCCATTTGAGGTGGAAAATTGTGCCTGTTTTGGCAGAAGAGTTGGACAGTGTGTTTTTCGTCCTGCTCCTGAGGAGGGGAATGGACAAGTGTGGAGTTAAGCTCAGGAGGGATCTGGAGCAAGGGAAGGACCTGGACAATGTGCCTCTGCTAGCATTTTTTGCTGGGGCACTGGTGCTGACTACCCTCTTTGCAAGCCGTGCTGTTCTTGTGGTGCTAGTGCCTAGCTGAACCATTTGACTCTGGTAGAAGGCTGCAGAGAGCGTATAGAGGCCAGGTCAAAAGTATAGAAAAGAGATTTTTAAGAATCCAAGCTTGTGAGCAACCCGTAGATGCCCTGGGGTACCTCCAGTGTTACATGGGAGGGTCAGATGGGAAGAGATGGAACCTCCATCCTGGAGAAGCGAGGGAAGGTTAGACACTGCTCCTGCAGTCGAGGGAGTTGTAGTTTGGGTGTTTAGAGAAGTCTTAATGTCCTTACTGAAGCAAGGTCTTCTCCTGATGCACTTACTGTGTTGTGCCAGTCTACACCGGATTGCATAATATGGTCCTGCCCATGATCAAAATTATAGCATGTTCTTCCCCATCAGAGTTGGAAGTGATGGGCAGGAGGAGGGGAGTAGGTTCCACGTTGGTGCAAGCTGTAACATCAAGCCTCTTGATTGCTTTTCCATGGCATGGCTTCCCCTCTCTGCCTGCAGTAGGGAGCTTTTATCAGGCTGGGGACACACAATACTGATTTTGTCCTCCACTAGCCCTCGTTTTCTTTCTTGCTAGTGGTGCTGAGCCTGCTCTTATCCTTCCTACTATCCGTTTTAATTAGAAAATATTACACCCCACAGCTTGGGTTTGTGATGATGGATGCCGAGGACATCACCAAGGACCAAATAGGATGACCAGCAAACTCAGTTAATGAGTAGAAGGCTACTGATCTTTTTAGTTAGCAGCTGTGCAGGTGCAAGAAGAAGGTGCAGTGAGACATGCACATTGTGACAGCAAAAGCATACACAGAGGCAGCAGCTGAGCACCTGATTTGCCCCTAATGAAGCATGTGCTTTTTGTCCTTCCTTGGGCCTGGCTGTGCTTCATGCCAACCAGGCAGAAAAGGTCCACGTGAAATCAGGTACAACATCTGAAACTATTTTTTATTTTCAAGTGGGGAAATACGGCCTGTTCTGCCTAGCTCAGACCACTATGGGAGAGCAGTGTTGAGCTCTTTCCAGTGAAGCAGGGAACAGGGAAAGGGCAACTCTAGGTGCTTGGGTGGGATCTACAGGCCCTGCAAGAGACAAGCCCCAGGCTGATGGGAGCCCTGGGTGGGCAATACTGAAGGTCTCTGTGCTGCCTTTTACTGAAAAGGTAGAACCAGCTGTTGCCACATCTCTCTGCAGCTGAGGGGTGTCTAGAAAGCTTCCTCAGACCCATCTCAAATGATAACCTTTCCCTGCCTTCAGCCCCTGTGTCCCCTGCACATGCCAAGGCAGAGGAAGAACCATGGTTGTCTCTCTGGTTGCGATTACTGCTGCTGGGCTTGTAATTCTCATTGCTGGCCCTGAACAGCAGCTGCACTGTCCCATCAGGGCCTGAGTGTCTTTCAGTGGGCACTGTCCTCTAGTCCAAAAGGACATTGCAGTGCAGGCTAGTGCTGTGATTTTAGCTCGCGTGCTGTCATATTTGCTTCCCCAGTGCTGCAGGATAACAGGCCATCCTTGACTTTGGGCGCTACGACTTTTCTTTACAACACTTTTCTTGACCTCTATTTGCAGAGGACATCATTTCTTTCACTGTAGTCCCTGTTGCCCCAGGATCTCAACTCCTGAAAATAAGCCAAGACAATAAGGTTTCAAACCATTCCCTTGCATTCTTTCCCCTCTCCCCCATGATATTTTAACATCTTCTCCTTGTTTTGTAGAGAAACTTGACATACCATGTTCTTCCTACCAGCCTATTAAACATGTACTGCCTGTATGGAAGAGTCTGGCTGTAGTAGTAACCATGCCTTTTCTGGCTGGCTTTGCCCCTTGCCCTGCAAGATGCTAGATGGATTTCTGCTAAACAAATTGCGAGTTCTTCCAAGAGCCTGTTGGCACCAGAAAAGACCAAGCGTTTGGCTGCTCCCTGCGTCTGCTCGTCACATGTTCAGAGAGTTCTTTGGAAACCAGACAGCCATTAATTACAGCCCCAGTGAGATGGGTTAAGCTTTCCTCTCTTCTGATAGAGATCTCCTGAGGGCTTCTTTAATGGCTCTGTCAGATGATTCTGCATTCCTACATGGAGCAATTAATTACTCATCCCATGTAGTTTGCCCACTGATTGAGTGAGTTCTTCCACAAGATATGGCACTAGTTGATGTTCCACGATGCTTGACGTTTTCTTCCTGCTTTAGTTTGGCATCCGGCAGCAGCAAGGCTTATGGAGGTCTCAAGGAAGGACCCTTCTTTCCAAAGCACTTCTCTCCCACCCTTGAACCCCTTTAACTGAGGTCTCTGCTATTCCCACAGGTATTTTGTGGCAGTTGGTCCAGTTTGCATGTCATCCACCTGCACTGGTGCCGTGCGGTGTTAGTGTTTGCCATGGGCTTTGGATTTTTGTTGACCAGAATGGATAGCTGTGCGCTGTTAATAATTTGTCTGCTAGCTCTCATTGTCTAGGTACTGAGGCGTTCACTGATCATCTTGGAGTTGATTTCCCAAATTGAGATTTTGATGCCTTTCCTCTCTTCCAACTATCTTCCAGAATGCAATCTGCCCTCCAAGGCAAACCCTGGGTGCAGTTTCCCAGTGGCCTGATGGGAAGCCCACTCTCTGGATCCAGCTGTTCCTTGTAGGGTGTTCTGGCACCCAGTCAGGTCCATCTTGCAAGTACCCACCGGAGCTGCGCTTTGGGGCAACGGGCAAAGAGGGAAGATTACTGTGGCCAGCGGTCCTGAAGCAGACTGGCCATGTTCCTGTCGCTCAGAGCTGTCCAAGCAGCTGGGCATGGAGACATCTCTGTCATTAGTTTTCCATGGCATTGTTCTACTTCAGTGAGAGTAAGTGGCATATGCTTAGGCAAAGTTTGGCAGTGCTGAACTGCCCCCGATCCTGCAGGTCCCTATTTTTCACAGATGGACTAACTTCCCTATATGCAGATGCAAACTTGAGAGGCAGCAGTCATATCTTGACCTTGTAAGTGCTGCATCAGTATGGCAGAGACTACATTTCCTGAGGTGCCTGTTTCTAGCCTAATGTGTTTCCTAGGAGTTGTTTAGGAGATGTTGGCAGCTCCTCAGAAGCTCCTGACTTCTGACTGCAGTACTGTAGGAGCAACTTGCTACCCTGAGCCCTGCATCTGAGTCCCTGGTCCTTTGAAAGCTCAGAGAGTTTTTTCTGTAGGGGGCAGAGGAAACTCTGGGCCTGGCTTCCTGAGTTGATGGCGGGGGGAGGGGGTGTCCATGTCTGCAGCTGAGCTCTCAGGCAGAGACGTGGCTTCCGTCAGGGTCCAGATGTTGGAGATACCTTTGGTGGCCTCTGTGTGTGCAAGCCTCATAATTTCCAGGAGGCTTCTGGTGGGGCCCATTATCTAGCTGGTCTTCTCATCCCTAGTGTGGAATTTGCAGCCACTGCAGCCTGGGTTTGGAGGATGGCTTTAATTGGCTTGTGCCTCAGCTGGGAGGCCTCTAGAGCGTGAAGAGGTCCCCTTGCAAATCATCAGAGCACTAGAATCAGATATGGGTGGCCTGTGTTTAAGGAAAGGACCTGCATGGACCAGCAGATTTTTCCTCTAGATTGATAGTTAGCAAAGCGGAAACAAGCCACAGCGCTGGTCTGGCACCTCCCAAACGCTTAGGAGTGTTTGTTCCTCCCTTGGCAGCTTGCTTTCTCCTCCCCACCCCTAACACTGGTACATAAGGCCCCCTCAGAGCAGCCTCTGCACAGCGCATCCCGTTCCAGTGAGGCAGACAACAAGCTGCACCTCCAGTTCCAGCACCTTTGCTCTTGGTGAGAGTGAACCTGAAGACCTTCAGCATGGGTAAGAAATACTCTGCAGCCTCCACTCAGCCTCCAGCAGCTCAAAGCCATGTAGCTTTGATTTATGGCTCCATGCTGGATCCTGCTCTAGCCACTGTCTCAGGGCTGTAGACATCGCATCTTGAAACTTAGTCCCACTTGCGGACTGGTAGGTTTGTTCCTCTCCAGCATTGCAGGGAGGGAATGCTCCCTGCGAAGGCGAAGGGGAGGCTGAAGTTTAGCATTGTGTCTGACTGGTACAGAAGGTTCATTTCTTTTAGTTACTACCCTGGTTCTGGGAGCTTGTATGTGCCTTGAAAAGCTCCTTCCGTTTGGCCATAGCGTCTGTGCTGAGGGGAGCCTCACTTTCTTCTGGGGAAATGCAGCTCCCTCTTCAGGGAGACGAGATCCAAAACTTACTTTCCAAAACTTAGTTTCCCAGCTTTGCTTTCCAAAACTTCCTTTCCAGGCTAGACCTTTAGACCTGGTTATTAGTGTAAACTCTCTGTCCCTCACAGTCGATGGGGAGGGGATCGCTGAGGAGCTCAGAAGATGCAGAATGGAGCTGAGAAGTGTTTTTATCTGTGATACCCCTGGTGACTCTTTAGGGAGGATTTCTGTCTTTTGTCACTACCAAAACAAAGGTAGATGCTGGTCACAGAGGGCCCCCTTGAGAGCCAGGGTGGGAGAAGGTCCATCTGGCGGGACAGAACCTTCTGAAAAGGTATCCTTAAAGGAGGTGGAAATCTCATTTTCTTCTTCTCTTCTTCTCAAATCAGACCGATGCAGAGTTCAGTGCAAGGCATACACAAGCTGCCCAGAAGTTGTGAAAGGCAAGTCCTCTCAAGCATGTTTGGAAGGGGAGGGCATTTGGGAAAGAGCTTTTCTTTTCCCTTCTGGCTGATTCATGGCATGTCTTGACACAATTTTTTTATACACAAAGGTCCCAGAGAGGAGCTTGCATATGTGACCTGTACCTACAGGGAAACAGGTATCGACCAACCTGACTTCCTGGCCACCATCGATCTTAACCCCAGATCTCCATATTATTGCCAGGTACCTGTGATTAGACTCTGTTCTTCCTAGGCTGAGCACTAGCTGCTGGCTCCGTGCTCCGTAATGTCTCTGGATCCAGCACATTTCTGCTTTCTGCTGTTCCCTGTGTGCTTGGCTCCAGTTGAATTGGCTCCATCTCTGTGTCCCAGTGGACATGTCAGCTGTGACTCACTTCCCAACTCACTTCCGGAGGATCTTTGTAGTAGTGAGCATTAGAGCTCATGCCCTGAACCGTCCTCTCAGAAGCTGTTCAGCATGGATGGCCTCTAGTGATACATGGGGTCCAGAGCAACCAGCACTTTTGCAGAGTTGAGCATGTTTCTGTTTCAGAGGTGTTCTGTTATGCACTGTACCAGCCTGTCTGCTCTTATCCTAAATGGGGAATCAGCACCTGCCTGATCAGCCTACAAAGGCTGCAAGTCCAGGTTATCCACATCAACAGTATATCTCTGAACTGATTAGTCACATATAGGCTTTGACCTCTCCACAAATCTGCAGTGGTGCAGGGAGCAGTGTTATCCTCACTAAGTAATTGCTTGCATTAAGGTCCCCTTTTCTCCCTGCCTCCCTGAGTGACCTCTGTTTCTGCCTTCGGCTACCTAGGTGATCCACCGCCTGCCTATGCCCAACCTCAAAGACGAGCTGCATTGCTCAGGGTGGAATGCTGGAAGCACCTGCTTTGACAGTATCACAACAAGAAGGAACAAGCTGATTCTTCCCTGTTTGATTTCTTCCCGCATTTATGTGGTGGATGTGGGTACACAGTGCCGGGCTCCCAAACTGTGTAAGGTATGCCTGAGGTGACTCCAAGACAAGTTTCTGGAAAGGAGTTGCGAACTGGTGCTTCTGGAATAAGATACAGGGAAGAAGGGTTCTCTTCACCTTCTCTTCCATTCTGATTTGAAAGACCTGAGTCATGTTTCCCTCTCAGCTGTCTCCTTTCTAGACAAAGGATGCCTTACACAGGATCTGGTCCGTGGTTCTGATGATCATTTTCTTCCCTTCTCCATGCCTGCTGCATGCAGGGAATGTCTTCTAGCTGGAAGTCATATCATGCCCCTGCCTGACCCTGACTCGAATAGTGAGGTGGACAAACAAGCTGCCACAAGTTAGGTGTCGCTGCATTCATGTTTGTGTAAAGGAGAGCTTGGAGGTGTCTCTGCTCCTCTCTGAGAAGGAGCAGAGCCTGTCAGGTGTGAGTTCCTGGGCAGAAAGCACCTCCTGCAAGTATCACAGATTTTTCAGAAATCTGAGGTGGCCAAAGGCTCTGCCAGGGAGTGTGAAATGAGCTGAGCAGTCAGGGACTTAAGTGCGTGTGTGTGTACACTTTTTTCAGGTGATTGAGCCAGTGGATGTCTTCTGGAAGTGTAACAAGGGCCATCTCTGTATAGTTCATAGCCTGCCTAATGGTGATATCCTGATTTCCAACATGGGAGATCCAGCTGGCAATGGAAAAGGTATTTTTCCCTGTACTCATTCCAAGAATGTGATTCCTATTAGAAAAATAGCAACCCTAAAAACTGCAGACTTTCAAAATTGTCAGATAGCAAACACAGAAGACTTGTTAAGAACTCCCAGTCCTTCTGTGCTGATATAAGAACAAAACCCACCCACAAGCCTGAGGTCCAGAGTGGGGACATGAAAACAAGTGATGGAGAAAAATCTGGTCTCCTCCACACGTTCAGCCATTTAATCTACCATTCAGCCATTTAATCTTAGGGGTTCATCCATGACTGCTTGAGAACAAGGCAGTGGGTTGAGTCCTGCCAACACAGGTAACTTGGGCCACTGAATGCACACTTAAGTGAATACTAAGTTGGGATCATTTTTGGTTCCAAACCCTTGTACGTAGCCCATATGGGAAGCTGTAATACACATCCTTTTGCCCAACTAAATCCACTTGGTAGAGCTTTTGCAGCTGAGTATCTCAAGGCAGAAAATCTGTTGAAGATCATACTTGACTCTTTAAGTGAGGCTAATGCACAAAGCATGATACCACTTTGGAAGTGGAGTATGTGACCTGTTGTGCTTCTCCTTCTGTGCCACAGGTGGTTTTATTGTCCTGGATGGAGAGACCTTTGAACTGAAGGGGAACTGGGAGAACGAGTGTGGGGTCCCCCCCACTGGACATGACTTCTGGTTCCAGCCACGCCACAATGTTCTGATAAGCTCTGCTGGATTAGTCCCAAAACGTGCCGGACTTGGATTTAATCCAGATGACCTGAAGAAGGGTGAGGGAATATGGATGTAAATGCGGAGCCAGGACTCACTGAGGTGTTGGAAGGATGCCTTTGTGGTCAGGGAAAAAAGGGTTAGTGCTGGAGAAAGGGGGAAAGCTGAATTCTCCCAGAAAGGCCCATTTTACCGGCACTGGTACAGTGTCTATCCTTAAGAGCAGCCGGTCCCTGTCTTCCCCTACTGTTCCCTGAACTACTCAAATTCTTCTGCTTCTCCTGGCTGCAGCTGCTGTGGCTGTCTCTGTCTGTTAGCGTTCTTGGGAGAGATGAGTCTACAGGGCTAGTCCCACCTCTTCTGACTTGGTTTTTCCTTTGACCTGAACTCAGGGGTCTTTGGGCGCCGCCTGAATGTGTGGAACTTGTCCTGCCATACCCTCATCCAGTGCTTTGACCTGGGGGAGGACTCTCTGCCCTTGAGTGTTAAATTCCTCCACAACCCCGATGCTGCTGAGGGATACGTCAGCTGTGCCCTGAGTGGCATCGTCTATCGCTTCTACAAGAATGAGGCAAGTATTGTCCCAGCAGCCACAGGAAGTAACGTGAGACCCAGCCATCACGAGCTACAGGGTGATTTAGAAACTTCCAGGAAAAATTCAGGGTCGCATTCCTCCTGCTGTGTGTATGCTCTCCATGTGGCAGCTACGCTTCTCCCATTGACTCTGAAGGACATTGGCTGGGGTTCCTCTCACCTGATTTAGATGCTTAACTATTAGACAGCTGAGAGTGAGCTAGGGACCCTGAGTTCTGTCTGTATTCAGTGGAGAGAAAGGAGGAGACGTGGAGAGGTCAATGTCCAGGCCCTGCCTTGGACAGGATGCCTTATCCTAGGGTGAGAGGGGTCTCCTCCTGGAGGAGCCTGTTTCTGTCCATGGAATGTAAATGTTGTGACCAGCTTGGGCTTCTTGGTTGAACCTCTCCGAGATTATTTAGAGCAGTGAATCCCAGCCTTGCTGTTGGTGTCAGAGGGTGCTGTCCCTAACTCTGTCTCCTCTTAGTAGGTGGGCCTTGTGTGGTGGTAGCCTTCCTAATGCAGATTTGCCCACCTTGTATGTGTGTGTGCAGTGAATGTTTTTGCACAGAAATGCTCACAGTGTAGTGTTCCTGTTTCTTGAACAGAGAGACTGCTGGGCAGTAGAGGAGGTGATTCAGATCCCAGCCAAGGAGGTGAGGGGATGGATTCTCCCCAAAATGCCAGGTTAGTGTCCCTTGTTTTGTAAGAATTTTTTCCTCCCAGAAGCTTGTGGGAAAGCCCCTGGCAAAGCCCACTTGCTGACCCTCAAAGCCTTGCTGCATAAACATCGCGGAAGGGTTGTCAGAGTGGCTGAGTGGCTGTGCACACCTCCAAAAACATGGGCAGGTTTCCTGTAGTGGACTCAGTGCATACAGAATGGCAGGGAGAGGTGTGAGCTGTGGCTCCATGCGACACATTTTCTGCTGGTCCTGCCTTATCCTTAGCTCTTTGCTTCTCTGCCCTAGCTCTCACAGCCAACATTGTCATCTCGCTGGATGACAGGTTCCTGTATCTCAGCAACTGGCTGCATGGAGACATCCGCCAGTATGACATCTCCAATTCCTGCAAGCCCAAGCTGGTGGGACAGGTAAGCCATCACCAGAGAGGCTTCCACTGTTGGGTTCCTTAGCAGTATTCAGTGGTGGTTAGAAGACAAGACAACATGTCTCCCTGTCCCTTGCTTACAGGTGTTTGTGGGAGGCAGTATCCTCAGAGGTGGGCCTGTGACTGTGTGTAGAGATGAAGAGCTGAAGTGGCAGCCGGAGCCCTTGGTGATCAAGGTGAGTTATGTGGCCTCTTTCCCCTGATGTGCCCTCTGCAAATTGTCTCTGCTCTGCTAATTCTTTTCTCAGGGTTCCCGGGGGCAGGTCTCCATTGCAGCTGCCAGTGTGTTTGCAGCATTTAAAAGCCTGACCCGGATGGTTTTAACCCAGCAAGCGTGGAAAGCGTAGGAGGGCAATGCGGTCGCACAAGATTCAGCCCAGTGCTTTCTGAGTAAATATGCAGGTGCCCTGGCATGTGGCACAGTCCATGGTGAATTCTCTGTGCCTTGCTCGGGCTGAGTGGGTTGGAGCTAGCTGGGCTGTGGCTGCCGACGCTGTGATCGCACTGCCGGACCACAGTGAAGAGTTCCCTTGTGTCCCATCCAAGCACAACAGGGGTTTTGCTGGAGCATGGAGGAAACTTGTTCTCTGTCTGCAGCTGAAAGAGTTAACTTAGAGGCTGCAGGTTCTGTCTGTCAGGTGAACATACTCCTTGACCAGAGGAAAAGTTCAGCTCTCCTTGCATCAAGGAGAGGCCTGCTCCAGTCCCTGCTAGGAGGAGAGCCACCCTTTCTGCTCTGCTTCTCTGCTCCTGCTTTTGCTTCTCTGCTCAAAGAAAGAAGCCAGTAGAGTCACTGCTCTCTGTTGTGCCTTCAGTGCAAGAGAGTGTATGGCGGTCCTTATAAAATGCAGCTTAGTGTGGATGGCAAGAGGCTGTACGTCACCAACTCCTTCTACAGCACATGGGACAAGCAGTTCTACCCGGATGTGGTCAAGTAAGAAATCTTTGGGAGGAGGGAAGTTGCAGCATTGTCCCTCTGCACGTGCAGTCAAGGTCCATTTGCAGGGCCCCCATGTTAGCAAAGGGAGAAGTGCCTCATCCAAGGGGCTACAAGGACCCATTTGTGGTTGCATGGAGAAAGATTTTCTTAACCTCATACCCACAGCTTATTCATGTTGAACTACAAAGGCAACTGACTTGCACATCTCTCTGGCGGGACGAGGTGAACCTGCTCCCTGAGTGGAGCTGTGGTGTCATGGTTTTGCTTGGGAGAGTGTATGTTTCAATCTCCTCTGTGGCATGAAGCCATCCGTGGATCTCCATCTCCTAGAGCCAGGCCATGACTGTGCTGTAGCATCTCCCAGTGTATCCACGAGAGATGTCTGTCTTAGCAAAGACGATGATAATCGCCAACACAAAGGCAAGCTCCAGCCTATCTTCACAGCATGTCTAGTGGTTTACTCACATCCATTGCGAATTCAGTAAAACCCCTAAACGCTGGTGCCTGCAACTGCTAGAACTGGGCCTCAGCTGTGTTCTCTGTAGAAGACAAGGTGTTAAAGAGAAGGCCCCTGCCTAGATAGGGAAGAGAAGAGTGAAGTGCAGGGATGTTCTGAACAGGAGCATGGTTTCCTTGTCCATAATCTCTGCTTGTTTGTCCCTTTGCAGGGAAGGCTCTGTCATGCTGCAGATTGATGTGGACACTGAGAATGGTGGCCTGACCGTGAACAAGAACTTCCTGGTGGATTTGGGGAAGGAACCCTGTGGGCCTTGCCTTGCTCGTGATATCCACTTCCCTTGCGGAGATTCCACCTCTGATATCTCAGCCTAGGCACCATGTGAAAGATTCCCTTCTTCTCTCTCTCCTTTAGTGCAGATGTTAGGAAAAGAGTGTTGGTAACTGGGTCGGGGATCCCCATTCACTACTGGAAATCAAATTGCTGTTAACATGACCTACAGACGCTATGCCTTGTTGTGAGGGTTTGGTTCGAGTAGACCAGTGAATAAAGTCACGAGGCCTGGGATTAATCTTGCTGGACTGTGTATCTAAGCAGTGAGCCCAGGCACCCTTTGCGTTCAGTGCAAGGAAATAATCCCTGGGCATGGTTTAGAGATCAGAGGCCAGGGCACTTGCTCAGATATAGAGCTCTGTGGCACACACTGCCTTTTGGCATATGCCTGCATACCCACCATGCCTGCATACCTTCCTTGCTACAGGCCTGTCACATGGCTGCCCTGATGTTTCCAGCTTGTTAGCTGTTGCTCTCTAGTACCAGAGCCTGGTGGGAAACTGTTGATCACACTCTGTTGTGATTCAGAGCTTTTTCACATTTGAAAGCGAAGGCAAAAGAAAGTGAAGTGCCCACTTCATTGGAGTTACTGTTCTTCAGCCAGGTCATACCTGGATAGTCTTCTCCTGGCATGAGAGTGTTTTTGGCTCATGTGTCGAGAGGTTGGGCTGGTATGCGTTAGAGCTGAAGGAGGGTGTGCATGTATTCTGAAAAGAGGTGCCTGTTTCCTGACAGTGGTTTGTATGATTGCTTTTGTATTCTCCCGCTTTAAACACTAATAAAATTGTTCTTGGCATCAGCTGCTTCTTCCCATGTCTTGTTTCACTGAACCTTTCTATATTGTTTTCAGCAATGGTTAGTGATGAGGTCAGGGTTTTGGAACTCCCTGAGATAGGAATACTGATTGTGCAAGGGTGCCTGTTAGCCTGAAAATTTCTGGTAGAAATTGTCTTTTGCTCCAAAGCATATTTTTTGTGC